ATGGTACAGCACCGCTCTCTCCAGAACGGTTTCCTCAATGTTATATGCCATGGCATGACAAAGTTCACAGAATCTCCCGTTCTGTCCTTTTAGCTCCATGCTCTCATGGGGGATTGGGAGCACCCAGTCTAATTAAATACTATTGGGCCAATCATTTATGGCATATTCTGTCCTAGTCAGATCACCTGGCAATAAGTGGTTGGAAATTGAGATATCTCATATGTTTCCTATACACCCATCCTCTCTTTTTTGGTCTTTGCATACTATGTCTAAATTACCCCATCCACACTCAACTTTTAAATACTAAGTCATTCACGGTAAAAATCTGGCACACTTGTAAGCAAAAATTTTACTTATCACCCCCGTGCTCCCATTTTACTAATATACTATACAAACCTGCATTACCCAATAGCTTAATCTACTCTCAAATGCTCCCATGGGCTCAGGCTGGCATATTTCCAATGCGCCATTTAATTCACCGAGTAACCTGGAAGTTTCCTTTGAGCAAATCAGAACCAGGCACAAAACCATACCTTCCAGAGTTTTCTATGCATATTTAGAATTTCAACACTTTTTTTTTCTACCCAAAGGCCCTCAGTCACCCTGGATTGACCTACTAACTTTGAATATACTTGTATGTTAGGCCCCGCTCAGACACATTTAATCTCTACTATATATAAGATATTGCATGAGTCTTCTCCCATGACTGAGAAAACTGATTTATGCATGCCAAAATGGGCTGAGGCCCTTCAAAGACCTATCCCAATTATCTGCTGGCATACAATCTGGGAAGCAGCTTCTAAGGCATCTCATTGTATTACTCATAAAGAAAACATCTGCAAAGTCATGATATATTGGTATAAAACGCCTGTTATACTAAACTCTTATAATAAAGAAATTTCAGAGTCTTGCTGGAGATGTATGGGGGAACGGTGGCTCATATTTTCTGGTTTTGCCCCCCAATTTAAGAGTTTTGTTCTAGAGCTGGTTCTAGAGGTATCCTTTCCATAAACCCTCTAAATTACCTCCTACAATTACCATTTTCTGGAATTCATAAACAATCTAATATGCACACATATTAACAGCTGCTAAGAGATTAATCTCTCGTTACTGGAAATCCACAGATACCGTCACAAAATCAACTAATCTCAGCTATAGCTGAAATTAGACTTATGGAATTTTTGACTGCTATTTCATGTCATAACACTACAACATTTCATAAAATATGGGATATATAGGACAATTTGTTTTTTGGAGCACCTAAATGTGATGCCCCCTCTCCTCACAAACCTTAACTACTTATCTCCTGTCTATTTTGAAGTGCCTACATCTGATGGGATGCAATTTTCTTTTCTGTTCCCTTTTTCCTCTCTCTTGACTCTTTAGGATAAAGTCTAACATCTTTATCAGATGTAATTTTTTCATTTTATATGTTCAATTGATAAATGAATATTTTCATTACTGTTAAACCCTCCGTAGCTGCTGTGCGGCTTCTGTTGGGTTTTTTTTTTCCTTTTGTTCTGTAAATGATAAAAAAAAAAAACAAAAAAAGGATAAAAAAATAATTATACTCACAAGTGGACATAGTTACAAGCTCTTCACATCTGTCACAGGAAGATACGACCAGAAATGTAGTACATGCATGCAGATGAACTGGGAAGACACCACAAGGGCCTACAGATGCTGATGCGTTTTGAGGGTGCCCCTTTTATTCAGAGCTGTTCGCTGAGAACAATGTAACTGATAACAGACAGCACGGGCACTGAGCAGAGAACATTAGCAAGATATCTTTCAGGTATTTTTTGCACCTATCAAACAGACATAACAAAATGCTTTTATTTTTTGCAGACCAAAAGCAAAGTAAATATATACAGTGGGGCAAAAAAGTATTTAGTCAGCCACCAATTGTGCAAGTTCTCCCACTTAAAAAGATGAGAGAGGCCTGTAATTGGCATCATAGGTAGACCTCAACTATGAGAGACAAAATGAGAAAACAAATCCAGACAATCACATTGGCTGATTTGGAAAGAATTTATTTGCAAATTATGGTGGAAAATAAGTATTTGGTCAATATGAAAAGTTCATCTCAATACTTTGTTATATATCCTTTGTTGGCAATGACAGAGGTCAAACATTTCCTGTAAGTCTTCACAAGGTTGGCACACACTGTTGCTGGTATGTTGGCCCATTCCTCCATGCAGATCTCCTCTAGAGCAGTGATGTTTTGGGGCTGTCGCTGGGCAACACGGACTTTCAACTCCCTCCAAAGGTTTTCTATGGGGTTGAGATCTGGAGACTGGCTAGGCCACTCCAGGACCTTGAAATGCTTCTAACGAAGCCACTCCTTCGTTGCCCGGGCGGTATGTTTGGGATCACTGTCATGTTGGAAGACCCAGCCACGTTTCATCTTCAATGCCCTTGCTGATGGAAGGAGGTTTGCACTCAAAATCTCACGATACATTGCCCCATTCATTCTGTCCTGTACATGGATCAATCGTCCTGGTCCCTTTGCGGAGAAACAGCCCCAAAGCATGATGTTGCCACCCCCATGCTTCACAGTAGGTATGGTGTTCTTTGGATGCAACTCAGCATTCTCTCTCCTCCAAACACGACGAGTTGTGTTTCTACCAAACAGTTCTATTTTGGTTTCATCTGACCATATGACATTCTCCCAATCCTCTTCTGGATCATCCAAATGCTCTCTAGCAAACTTCAGACGGGCCCGGACAAGTACTGGCTTAAGCAGGGGGACACGTCTGGCACTGCAGGATCTGAGTCCCTGGCGGTGTAGTGTGTCACTGATGGTAGCCTTTGTTACATTGGTCCCAGCTCTCTGCAGGTCATTCACTAGGTCCCCCCGTGTGGTCCTGGGATTTTTTGCTCACCGTTCTTGTGATCATTTTGACCCCACGGGGTGAGATCTTGCATGGAGCCCCAGATCGAGAGAGATTATCAGTGGTCTTGTATGTCTTCCATTTTCTAATTATTGCTCCCACAGTTGATTTGTTCACACCAAGCTGCTTACCTATTGCAGATTCAGTCTTCCCAGCCTGGTGCAGGTCTACAATTTTGTTTCTGGTGTCCTTCGCTCTTTTGTCTTCACCATAGTGGAGTTTGGAGTGTGACTGTTTGAGGTTGTGGACAGGTGTCTTTTATACTGATATAACAAGTTCAAACAGGTGCCATTGATACAGGTAATGAGTGCAGGACAGAGGAGCCTCTTAAAGAAGAAAGTACAGGTCTGTGAGAGCCAGAAATCTTGCTTGTTTGTAGGTGACCAAATACTTATTTTCCACCATAATTTGCAAATAAATTCTTTCCAAATCAGCCAATGTGATTGTCTGGATTTTTTTTCTCATTTTGTCTGTCATAGTTGAGGTCTACCTATGATGCCAATTACAGGCCTCTCTCATCTTTTTAAGTGGGCGAACTTGCACAATTGGTGGCTGACTAAATACTTTTTTGCCCCACTGTATAGAAAAAAATCTTTACAATTTACATACACTGTAACACAAACCTGTACTAACACACTGGCTGCAATTGTTGAAAATGCTAGTTGCCTTGCTTTTGTTTTGGCTCTATGGCTTTGATGCTTTCTGAGCCACTGACTTTCCCAGCCAATCAGGGGGTCTTCACTTCACTTGCAGCATACTTGTTCCAGGTCCATTTCTCGGAAAGTACTGAAAGGCAGGTTTCCTTTTAGTGCAAAGTTTCACATTTGACTAAAAAGGATCTATAAGTCCTATTTAGTCCCTCTTTAAATGCCATTAAGCCTATCCTATTACCGCGGCCTGTGTAATTATGAGAGCAGTATTAATAAATCCGTGTCCCTGGCAGTAATTCACAGGAAATATATTTGGCCTGGTGAGGATTGTATGACAGGTTCCTCTTCCGTCAGCTATGTGTGAAACACAATATGCTATAGGAAATGCGAGCAGGATCACATGGGGCAAATTAAAAAGCAAATTAAAATAAAATGCCAGAAATAAATCGTGCAGTGAATTTACACATTGCTGTCTTCCTGGAAACCTTTTAGCTCATTTGAACCCTCCTGATTACTATAATGCAGCCAGGCTATATACATATACAGTAATAAATATTTTACTTTTTGTTTTACACTGGTACGTGCTACAGCAATTGTAAAATATCCTGTACTGCCAGCACATAGGAGAGTCAGGCTTCGGCTCTCTCACACAAAGCAGCATCCCAACTCTCCAGCGCTCCAACATGCCCCCTGAACATTGCTCTAGGTGACAGTGCTGCTCAGGGAGGGAGAGTGTTGTGTGATATATGGAATATTTTTCTTCACTATTTCAACCAAAAACAAATAAAAGCATTTAACTTACTGAACATAATACATAAATATACATACACTATATTGCCAAAAGTATTGGTCGGCCTGCCTTTACACACACATGAACTTTAATGGCATCCCAGTCTTAGTCTGTAGGGTTCAATATTGAGTTGGCCCGCCCTTTGCAGCTATAACAACTTCATCTCTCCTGTGAAGGCTGCTCACAGGTTTAGGAGGGTGTCGATGGGAAGGTTGACCATTCTTCCAGAAGTGTATTTGTGAGGTCAGGCACTGATGTTGGACGAGAAGGCCTGGCTCGCAGTCTCCACTCTAATTCATCTCAAAGGTGTTCTGTCAGGTTGAGGTCAGGACTCAGTTGGGCGCATGAAATTGTCCAAAATGTCTTGGTATGCTGACGCCTTAAGAGTTCCCTTCACTGGAACTAAGGGGCCAAGCCCAACCCCGAAAAAAAAAACCCCACACCATCACCCCCCCCCCACCAAACTTTACACTTGGCTCAATGCAGTCAGGCAAGTACTGTCCATTCACCTAGCAACTGCTAAACCCAGACATGTCCATCGGATTGCCAGACAGAGAAGTGTGATTGGTCATGCCAGAGAACACGTCTCCACTGCTCTAGAGTCCAGTGGCAACATGCTTTACACCACAGCATCCTATGCTTTGCATTGCACTTGGTGATGTAAGGCTTGGATGCAGCTGCTCGGCCATGGAAACCCATTCCATGAAGCTCTCTCTGCACTGTTGTTGTGCTAATCTGAAGGCCATATGAAGTTTGGAGGTCTTTAGCTATTGACTATGCAGACAGTTGGTGACTCCTGCGCACTGTGCACTTCAGCATGAGCTGACCCCTCTCTGTCTTTTTATGTGGCCTACCACTTTGTGGCTGAGTTGCTGTTGTTCCCAGTTGCTTCCACTTTGTTATAATACCACTAACAGTTGACCGTGGAATATTTAGTAGCAAGAAAATGTCACGGATGGACTTATTGCACAGGTGACAACCTATCACGGTACCATGCTTGAATTCACTGAGCTCCAGAGAGCGACCCATTCTTTCACAAATGTTTGTAGAAGCAGTCTGCATGCCTAGGTGCTTGAGTTTATACACCTGTGTCCATGGAGGTGATTGGAACACCTGAACTGGGAAACTATGAGGGGGTGTCTGAATACTTTTGGCAATATAGTGTATAAAATGTATGGGAAAACATTATTACATTCCTCTAAATCATGGGTCAGCAAACTATGGCCCCTGGGCCACATCCGTAAGATTTTATTCAGCCCTCAGATAGAGTCAGTGGCATAGTGCCAATGTGCACAGATTGAGGTCAGACGGCATTACCTCCGGTCCAAACCGCACCTGAACCCTGTAAGTGGGGACTCTGATGGGGACCCTGATGTAAAAAGGAATCTAATGGGACCTTGATGCCAGGGGGGCTATAATGGGGACTCTGATGTAAAGGGGGGACACTAACAGGGACCCTGATATAAAGGGGACTCTAATGTAAAGGAGACTATGACATCATTCAGGACAATAATGGGGACCCTGATGTAAGGGAGGGCTCTAACTGGGATCCTGATGTCAGTGGCAACACTAATAGGGACCCTGATATAAAGGGGACTCCGAGGTAAAGGAAGCTACGACATCATTCGGGACTATAATGGGGACCCTGATGTAAGAGGGAACTCTGATGTAAAGAGGACTCTAAAAAGAACTCTGATCTAAAAGGGAATCAATTGGGGACCTTAATGAAATGGGGGACTCTGATGTAATGGGAGCTCCGAGGGGGATTTTTCAGCCTGCAACTATTTGTGAAATATACAATGAGGCCCTAATACTGAAAAGTTTAATTAAAAAAGATAATGCATTGCTTGAGTATACCACTAGAGGGCAACCTACACTCACAGGAAAACATCTAAATACACAAATGGAATACATATACAGTATTGGAGCTGTTTTATTTATTTATTTCAGGTACTTATATAGCGCCTTCAATTTACGCAGCACTTTACATATATACAGTCATGGCCGAAATTGTTGGCACCCTTGATATTTTTCCTGAAAATCAAGTATTTCACACAAAAAAGGTATTGCATTAACACATGTTTTGCTATACACATGTTTATTCCCTTTGTATGTATTGGAACAAATATAAAACAGAGGCAGAAAAGCAAATATGACATAATGTCACACAAAACCCCAAAAATGGGCTGGACAAAAGTATTGGCACCCTTAACTTAATATTTGGTTGCACACCCTTTGGAAAACATAACTGAAATCAGTCGCTTCCTATAACCATCAATAAGCTTCTGACACCTCTCACCCGGAATTTTGGACCACTCTTCCTTTGCAAACAGCTCCAGGTCTCTCTTATTGGAAGGACACCTTTTCCCAACAGCAATTTTAAGATCTCTCCACAGGTGTTCAATGGGATTTAGATCTGGGCTCATTGCTGGCCACTTCAGAACTCTCCAGCGCTTCTTTGCCATCCATTTCTGAGTGCTTTTTGACGTATGTTTGGGGTCATTGTCCTGCTGGAAGACCCAGGATCTTGGACGCAAACCCAGCTTTCTGACACTGGGCCCTACAGTGCGACCCAAAATCCTTTGGTAATCCTCAGATTTCATGATGCCTTGCACACAGTCAAGGCACCCAGTGCCAGAGGCAGCAAAAACAACCCCAAAACATCATTGAACCTCCACCATATTTTACCGTAGGTACTGTGTTTTGTTCTTTGTAGGCCTCATTCCGTTTTCGGTAAACAGTAGAATGATGTGCTTTACCGAAAAGCTCTATCTTGGTCTCATCTGTCCACAAGACGTTTTCCCAGAAGGCTTTTGGCTTACTCAAGTACATTTTGGCAAACTGTAGTCTTGCTTTTTTATGTCTCTGTGTCAGCAGTGGGGTCCTCCTGGGTCTCCTGCCATAGCGTTTCATTTCATTTAAATGTCGACGGATAGTTCGCGCTGACACTGATGCTCCCTGAGCCTGCAGGACAGCTTGAATGTCTTTGGAACATGTTTGGGGCTGCTTATCCACCATCCGGACTATTCTGCGTTGCAATCTTTCATCAATTTTCCTCATCCGTCCACGACCAGGGAGATTAGCTACAGTGCCATGGGTTGCAAACTTCTTGATAATGTTGCGCACTGTGGACAAAGGCAAATCTAGTTCTCTGGAGATGGACTTGTAACCTTGAGATTGTTGATATTTTGCCACAATTTTGGTTCTCAGGTCCTCAGACAGTTCTCGTCTCCTCTTTCTGTTGTCCATGCTTAGTGTGGCACAGACAGACACACAATGCAAAGGTTAAGTGAACGTCTCTCCTTTTTATCTGCTTTCAGGTGTGATTTCTATATTGCCCACACCTGTTACTTGCCCCAGGTGAGTTTACAGGAGCATCACATGCTTGTAACATTCTTATTTATCCGCAGTTGTGAAAGGGTGCCAATACTTTTGTCCAGCCCATTTTTGGAGGTTTGTGTGACATTATGTCGAATTTGCTTTCTTTCCTCCCTTTTTTTGTTTTGTCCCAATACACACAAAGGGAATAAACATGTGTATAGCAAAACATGTGTTAATGCAATACGTTTCGTGAGAAATACATGATTTCCTGGAGAAATATCAAGGGTGCCAACAATTTCGGCCATGACTGTATTGTACATTCACATCAGTCCCTAACCCTCAAGGGGTGTACAATCTCAGGTCCCTAACTCACATTCATGTATACACATTCTGGGGCCAATTTAGACAGGAGCCAATTCACTTACCAGCATGTCTTTGGAGTGTGGGAAGAAACCAGAGGAAACCCACACAGGCACAGGGAGCACATGCAAACTCTAGGCAGGTGGTGCCATGGCTGGGATTTGAACCAATGACCTGAGTACTGCCAGGTAGAAGTGCTAACCATTTAGCCACTGTGCTGCCGAAGAATTTGTATTTCTGCTCATCCAGTCCTGTGTGTTACACAGCTCTGCCACACAGCACAGTTTTGTCTGGCAGAGCAAGAGACCTTATTTTCCACTGGTGCAGTTACAGCAAAACTTTCAAGAGGGGGGCCATGATAGCATTGCTATAGTGTGAAGTATGCACCATGCTCGTACATTATGGCACACTTACCTCTAACTTTGCCCTTCTCTGACGATGTTAGGTCTGTGCTCCCCCGCAGCACTACTACCTACTTTGAGAATCGGTGTCTTCTTTCTTTGGACATGTAATTGCATGTACATTGGAGTAACCTAGCTTCATTCTTAGTATCTGACATGCGCTGTAGCTGGGTCATGGCTATCCTCTGCATGTGTATGCACAATAGTCAGCACGAAAAAACGTTTTTTTTTTGACAGAAGAGACATGCAAAAAAAACGAAGAACAAAAAAACTACCTGCTAGCAATGTGCTCAGGTCTGCTTTAAGTAACACCTACAGGTTTTGTGTCTTGCCTTGACTGGCCTGTGAAAGGAGAAGCAACAGACTGATGAAATCATCCTTCTGTCACTCTGCTCTCTTCTCTTGTCAGCATACGTCTAGTCAGTGCAAGAGCACTAAAACTGCAATTCAGCCTGCAAAGCATTGCACCCACGATCAGTAAATTCACTGCATTACTGCTCCATTGAGTACTTCAAGTCCCTCTGCAATAGTGGTCTCTTTATTCACAGATCCTCACACAGCCGCACCTAATTAAAAAAAGTCTATGGGGAAAATTATACCGGGATTCAGTAAGGAGAAAGGGTTGAGGGTGGGGGACTGCAGACTCTGACCATGTTTCATGTTACACCCTCTACTGAAGACCACCCGACAACTCTATAGAAGCCATTCTTAACCAAGGTTCCTCCAGACATTGCTAGGGGTTCCTTGAGCTGTTGCCAATTGACCTCTCATCTAATGGTCCCTGCATAGTTTTATGGCCAGCATTACTTGGCAGAGCCAGCTGCATGATCTTTTTTGCAGTCTATACTGTAAGGGTGGCGATGTGACCACTACTGTAAGTGGGGCATTTTTTCTCACTGACCGCCATTAATTTTTTTTAGCAGGGGTTCCCAAAACCTAAATAATATTTCAAAGGTATTTCAAGGGTTCCATTGGGACAAGACAGAGAAAATCTGTTATAGATCTTTATTCAATGGTGCAGCTATGGGGATGCAGGGGGTGCAGATTGCACCTGGGTGACACCCGCCAGAGGGGTTACACCAGGGTTGCCAGTAATTCCTAAAAAAAAAAAATATGGCATGCACAGTTCCAGAGCCGCCTGAGTTTGGACATACTCCGCCATTTTCGGCTGGGTGGTGTTAATGACGTAATAATGACGTCATTGCTCCACCTGTATGGCAGCACGGCAGTGGGCACGCCTCCTGAGTCCCAACCCGGAGACTGCACCATCCCACCAACATGCCACTGTGTGCAGCATGGACATAGGATCCCAGAGACCAGACCTCTGCACCATCCATCCATGGCTGCTGGAGACTTCCACACCACTGTGAGCACGGCTATGGCCACGATCTCTGACCATCTCTTGTATCATGTCCACAGTCCCTAACCATCTCTTGTATCATGTCCACAGTCCCTAACCATCTCTTGTATCATGTCCACTATCTCTGACCATCTCTTGTATCATGTCCACAGTCCCTAACCATCTCTTGTATCATGTCCACAGTCCCTAACCATCTCTTGTATCATGTCCACTATCTCTGACTATCTCTTGTATCATGTCCACAGTCCCTAACCATCTCTTGTATCATGTCCACAGTCCCTAACCATCTCTTGTATCATGTCCACAGTCCCTAACCATCTCTTGTATCATGTCCACTATCTCTGACCATCTCTTGTATCATGTCCACAGTCCCTAACCATCTCTTGTATCATGTCCACAGTCCCTAACCATCTCTTGTATCATGTCCACAGTCCCTAACCATCTCTTGTATCATGTCCACTATCTCTGACTATCTCTTGTATGTGTCGGAAGGGGGAAGGGGTGACACCTTATCAGGTGACACTAACCCTAGTGACACCACTGCCTTTATTTAACCTGTATGAAAAGATTCAGGTTATGTAGAATATGTCATTGCAAAAGCTGGTTTCGGCATATTCTCTGGGATTTTCAAATCTTGGGCCATTCACTAGTTATAGTTGTTTTATGGTGATGTAAGTGTGAACTATTGACTGTACCGGAAGTACACAAAATGACAGACTTGTTCCGGTGCTACCGAATTTATAATGCAACCACTGATATATTTATTCATCAATAAAATTAAATAACCAAATTTTTGATCTCAATGCTGTCACACTCTGAATGGCAGTTACTCAGTCAAGCAACACTGTACCCAAATAAATTTTTATTATTGTCTTAGACAGATTGAACTTTATTTTTGTGGTATTTAATCACCACTGGGTTTATTTTTTTGCTATATAAACGAAAAAAGACCAAACATTTTCGGAAAAAAAAAACACATTTTTCTTAGTTTCTGTTATGAAATTTTGCAAGAAATATTCTTTTTCTTCTTAAATTTAGGCCAAACTGTATTCTTCTACAAAGAAGTCTATAATTTAGTCTTTGTGAAAATTATAGCGTCCTCAAACTATGGTATATATCTGAAAATTGATCAATCCCGATGTACTGCTCTCATTTCTTGAGGCCTTAAAGTTCCAGGACAGTACAAATATCCCTAAATGACCCCTTTTTGGAAAGTTTTTTGAAGTTGTAATTTTTTGTCACAATTTTTGTGGAAAATGACAAAATTAAAGTGTTGCTAAAGGCAGAATTTTTAAAAAATTTTAAATAACAAACATGTTATACTCAGCAGCTGTGTGCAGTGCTATTGCACAGAGTGGCCACAATTCTCATCTTCTCGGGTCCCCCGTCAGAGATCCTGGCTTCTCCTTTTTTTTGCATGTCCCCATAGCAAGCCATTTGCTATGGGGACAAACGCTATGTGCACATTCCTGACCTGTACCTTTCTCCTGGCAATCGCCAAACCCAGACACATCCATCAAATTGCCAAACAGAGAAGCGTGATTTGTCACTCCAGAGAACATGTCTCCACTGCTCTAATGTTCAGTGGCAGCGTGCTTTACACTACTGCATCCGAGGCTTTGCATTGCACTTGGTGATGTAAGGCTTGGATGCAGTTTCTCGACCATGAAAACCCAGTTCATGAAGCTCTCTACGCACTGTTGTTGTGCTAATCTGAAGGCCACACAAAGTTTGGAGGTCTTTAGCTATTGACTCTGCAGACAGTTGGCGATTTCTGCTCACTGTGCGCTTCATCATGCACTGACCCTGCTCTGTCATTGTACATGGCCTACCACTTTGTAGCTGAGTTGCTGTTGTTCCCAGTTGCTTCCACTTTGTTAAAATACCACTAACAGTTGACCGTGGAATATTTAGTAGCAAGGAAATTTCATGGATGGACTTATTGCACAGGGGACAACCTATCACGGTACCACACTTGAATTCACCGAGCTCCTGAGAGTGACCCATTCTTTCACAAATGTTTGTAGAAGCAGTCTGCATGGCTATGTGCTTGATTTTATACATCTGTGGCTATGGAGGTGATTGGAACACCTGAATCCATTGATTTGGAGGGGTGTCCCAATACTTTTGGCAATATAGTATATATATAGGTCACCCTATTGAAAATGAATACCTATGCATATACACTATATGATCAAACGTTTGTGGATACCTGACCATCACACCTTCAATATACAAGTTTTCTAAATATGCCATGCCAAAACCATGAGCATTGATACACAACTGAACAACACTTTGAGGCTATAACAGGTTTCACTGGAGAGTGTGTCTGTGAGAATTTGGTCCATTTATTAAAAAGAGCATTTGTGAGGTCTAGTACTGAGAATTAACAAGAAGGTCTGGCATGCAATGGCATTTGAGTATATTCCAAAGATTTTCAATAGGGTTGAGGTCAAGGCTCTGTGAAGGCAACTCAGGTTCCTTCACACCAAGTTTATCAAACCATATAATTTTGGACCTGACATTTGGCCACAGTCATGTCCTAAAACTGTCATCACAAGGTTGGAAGCACACAGTTGTTTAATATTACTTTGTATGCTGTAACATTAACAAGAACCTTCATTGGAAACAGCTGAACTTAATAATTAGGAGGGGGTGTCAAATACAGTAATTTTTGCCATATAGTATGTGAGATTATCAGGTGTCCACAAACTTTTGATTTTATAGTGTATGTATGTTTATATATTTCTTTTTTTCTAATTACAGACACGCTTTTTTCTCTACAGTATGTACAGTATATCCTACAGATAATGTGTTCACAGTGAGATCTGTACTTTTAAAGACTTTTGTAATAAAATGTTATATTTGAGAGTTCTTTGTTGTTATATGGATATATCAGTGGGCCACTTTCAAAAACCCTTTCTTTTGTTTGAAGAAGGTTTAGATAGCTTTGGGGGGGGGGGGGGGGGGGGGTAGTAGTAGATAGGTGATGGCGGGCCTCCCTCCATGTTCCCCAATAACTCGCTGGGTGCCAAGTCTGGATAACAGAAGAGGACTACCCCGGGGGTGGGTTCCTTTGGGCTATGCTAGGCACCTGAGACAGGGTAAATTCTCTAAACATGGGGTACCTTTACTTTTGTGCCGCTTCATCCATGCCCTGGGACAAGGCTGAGACCAGCGTGGGGGAATACTCAACCTTAAGGCAGGCCTCTGACATTAGAGATGACCGATACACTATGTACACTTGCACAACAACTGTTTTCCAGATACTCTCAGGTCCCCATGGAATATACATCTTTCCACTCTAGCTTGCCATTAGGTGGGCCATGCTGAACACTGACCACAGCCACCTGTCCAGCATTTTCCACTACTACTCCTGGTAGCAGCACGGAACCTCGCTGTGGACTTGACTTTAACTCTTTAACCTCTGTACAGGATGGGATCCTTTGTAATGCAGTTCCGCTCCGGTTACTATAGGAGATGCAATGCAGCATAGGGAGTGCTGACAATATCTCCCTCGCGGCTAGAGGCAATTCCACCTATAACAGGTACATGTTTCCGACAGACTGCTTGCTGACTGTACCTTGGCAACCACTTGTAGAACTTGCACTAAGATGACTGTAGATGTGCTGACTCTGCATACCCCATGTTCTAATGACCCAAACCTTAGACCGGCTGTCGGCAACCCGCGGCTCCGGAGCCGCATGCGGCTCTTTTTCACCTTTCCTGCGGCTCCGGAGCACACTGCCCACCAGGTGACAGGCAATAGGGTCGGCAAGCCGCGGCTCTTTTAATGCAGATCTTCTGTGTGCCGGGCGCCCGCTGGCAAACATTGGCTGTCAGGATGTAGGCGGGGCAGCCCGGATGTAGGCGGGGCAGCGTGACGAACTCCTCTCCTCTCACAGTCCGCCCTGAAGACCAGAACGGCGCGGGAACCCAGCGAGAGGAACGCGCGGAGCAAAGGTAAGTGAATTCACACAATATGGGGAATGAATTACTATAGGGGGGATGAATTACTATAGGGGGGATGAATTACTATGGGGGATGAATTACTACGGGGGATGAATTACTATATGGGGGATGAATTACTATAGGGGGGATGAATTACTATAGGGGGGATGAATTACTATGGGGGATGAATTACTATATGGGGGATGAATTACTATAGGGGGGATGAATTACTATGGGGGATGAATTACTATATGAGGGATGAATTACTATATGGGGGATGAATTACTATGGGGGATGAATTACTATAGGGGGGATGAATTACTATAGGGGGGGATGAATTACTATATGGGGGATGAATTACTATAGGGGGGATGAATTACTATGGGGGATGAATTACTACGGGGGATGAATTACTATATGGGGGATGAATTACTATAGGGGGGATGAATTACTATAGGGGGGATGAATTACTATGGGGGATGAATTACTATATGGGGGATGAATTACTATAGGGGGGATGAATTACTATGGGGGATGAATTACTATATGAGGGATGAATTACTATATGGGGGATGAATTACTATGGGGGATGAATTACTATGGGGGATGAATTACTATATGGGGGATGAATTACTATATGGGGGATGTATTTTCAGTTTTAAAAATGTTTCTCTCAAAATAAATTTCAATCGTGGTTTTGGCGAGATTTGGCTCAGTCGAAAAAAAAAGGTTGCCCACCACTGACCTAAGGCTATGATTGTGATTATGACGATACACTGTGGCCCTGATTAACCCTTTGCTTACTGGGCCCTTAAACCCCCTTCATGACCAGAGCGTTTTTTGCAATATATGCAGTGTCGGATTTGTTTTAAATGTTGCAATGGTTTTGCGGCTCCCAGTCTTTTTTTCCCTCTCGGAAACAGGTCCAAGTGGCTCTTTATGTCTTAAAGGTTGCAGACCCCTGCCTTAGACCATAGGTGCTGGTTACTTGCATTACACCCCATTGAGTAACTTTAGACCAAGTGGTAACAACATTTCAAAGCTTTACTTGGAAAAGTGTGAAATGAACATCTTCACAGTCCAGCATGCAAAACCGAATTATTCCTACATCCCTACTCCTAATTCATGTGCTGCCCCGGCATACCTGCAGAAGGTAGAATCTATGTACAGGCACGAGTCCATCAGAGGCATTATCCAGCAGTTGGAGTCTTCAGAGCAAACCCCAGGTACAGAGGACCCTCAACGTTATGGCAGCAGCAACTGTTTTCTTGTATCACTCTCCTGCTTCCTGATCTCTCTTTTTTCTTTTCTTCTCTTCTCTCTCAGGGGCTCTCAGGCCTGGGGCTTTGGGCTCCCTCTTTGGGATCACTGTCCCTCTTTTATTACAGGATCAGTGGGTCAGACCTAGAGATAACTCACCAAAACCAAAGAACCAGGAAAGGCAATAACCCTTACCCTCCTGTCCGGGGCAGCACCTAACTAGAACCTACTTCAACCTGCCTACAACCTGAAGATGCCTGCTACTCAGATAAGGGGGTACCACCAGTCCCTCTATACGGGGCCCAGGCAGCTGGGTAAATCAGATGTGGGCAGGGATGGTGATTGGCACGGCAGTTTGGGGGCATTTACTTGAACTGATCCCCTGTATGACTCTCTCTGCAGCAGCTGAAAGCTGTCTTCTTCTCCTCTCCAACCCGCTGGCTCTCAGCTGCTACAGAGAAGAGCCATACAGGGGATTGGTTCCAGTAATTTCCCCCTGCCACACTCATCACCCACCCTGTGCACCATATGTTTCCCCCTGCTGACCAGGCCCCCCTGTGTGCCTCCACCCCCACAGTGCTGCTGGCTTCCCTCCTCTCCTTTCTACAGGCAGCTGCAAGCACACAATAGAATCCTTTACAATGGAGAGTGGGGCAGGAGTCCTGTAAATATGTTAAATTTACCAGTGCCTTCCTTTCCCGAATGAACATAATAAGTGATTGGTACCAATTACTCACTGTGTTCATTCATAACTGAAGCATAGTAAACTTTGTTTTTTAGGGGGGGGGGTCCTGTTAGGTTGGCTGTATGGGGCTCCGTGCTTTCTAACAGCAGCCCTGCTGAGTACCCTCTCAAACCACACACAGGTACACTATAAAGTTGAAATTTTGTGAGTGCAACTTCTGGTGCAGCTCTGCATAGAAGCCAATCAGCTTCCAGTTTTTTTTTGTCAAAGCTTAATTGAACAAGCTGAAGTTAGAAGCTGATTGGCTACCATGCACAGCTACCAGACTTTGCACTCTCCAGTTTTAGTAAATAAACCCTTATTTCTCTCCTGCAGTAAAGTTTCTTATTGCATGCACAGCTCAATGTACAACTTCTGCAATAATGAAATGTGCATGTGAGGGCATCTCGGCCGGACCAAAGGAAACAGACAAAGATTGGTACCCAGAAGCAGACCTCATGAAGATTTTGGCAGGCCAGCAGGGTGCTCCAAACACTGCAGCATTGGAGTGAATAGGACAGGAAGGGATTCAGTTCACAGCCAGGTCGTTAATGCTATCCATGACTCCAGTAAGGACCTCAACACTACCTCGGGCATTGCCTTTTCACTGAGGCTAGGTTGCAAAGTAAACTTTCTGGTTCCAATCTTTGTAGTGCAAGATGCTGGTGCCACAGATACATTACGTAGAATGCACTACAGTGAGGTATACGAGGAAGATCAACTCAAGGCAGAGACCTGGCAAGACCATAGCTGGGGTGGACCAAAGACAGCAGCAAAGTGACTAGATGATCCATTTTTTGTAGCTTTCTTATTTAATAAAAATAGAAAACTCACAGTCATTAAAAAAATAGAAAACTCACAGTCATTATTGTGAAGATAATATTTTTATTTGCGTAGACCCAAAGCATCATTCTTGTGGCGTACAACATAAATATCTATAAATACATCTAGGATTTCTCTTCTTTGCGACACTACAAAATAAATAAATAAATACGCAACCTTCCCCAAATCAGATGCAAAGTTTCCCTAAAGGCTGCAAAACTCTCAGCACCCTTCCCAAAATTGACTCGAAAATTATGGGAGCTTATCTGAAAAGTGTTAAAGCTTATAGACTCTAAATAGCATACAGTGAAAATGACAATCCTTGCAAACAGGATAACAACAATATTACACATTAGG